TTAGATTAGAATTGTCATTTATTCATAGACTACTTCTTTCGCAATTCAATTCGCCAAATTCCAAACTGACCACAAATATTTGTTTTTTTCTCCTCAAACAGGAAACGTGGTAAATCCCAGTGTAACTGTGAAACTGGCATTTTCCTTGAACCTCGCGTTTTTCTCACATCGATTTTGACTTTCATCGTGGACGTGTGGAAGTAATTAAAGGCATCGGTGTTCGTCTTTATAAGAGGGAGACGAGAGTGGGAACCTGAATAAAATCTGTACGCGAGTTTCACGTGTCTCTGTATCGGTAGTCGAGTTCAGTTTCTTCCTTCGCCGTCTTGGAGGATGAGATCGACACCGAGCAGCTCGCGTTTCACCGCCGCTTCCTGAGACACGCGCGTGTCAGACACGTGCTCTCATCCTAATTCAAAAGAAGATAGGATTGTGGAAGATTTTAGGTCGCGAGATATTAAACAAAAAAAGAAAGTTGTTCTTCATTTAATATACAGTACTGGAATCCGTAAATGTTAGAAAAGCCGACAGACAAGTGTTGAGTGTTGATCATATCTAAAGTGAAGGGAACATTGAAAATAGAAGCGACCTTGCTTCGTGTCATCGCACTCTCTCTAAAAAATTCTCTGGATCCAAGCCTCCTCTTAACATGGTAATTTACATCCTAATTCGTTTCGACAACTGATAATCGAATGACGTATCAGGTGTTCTACCTTGATGTCACATCATGATTTGTCTTTCAATTCAAGATGCAGTGTTACCTTAGTTTTAGGGCAATTCTCTTCGTTCACTGATGAAAAGAAAAAAATAGCAATTAGAAAACAATGAACAGGTAGACATGTGTTACGCAGACTGTGATAGGATATCACTTTACAGACGCTTATTGTACTTATCTTTTATTATGATTCTGATATTACTGACCTGAAATTAAGAACAATTTGCGCTGCGTGGAGTGCAATAATTCTGTACAGTGGAATGGATAATTACTTATGCATTAGTATTAGCCACGTGTCACATCACGATCTAATTTTGTCATTTGAACAGTTTTTCGGAACAAGTTCGAAACTCGAGGTATCATTGCGTTGCTTTAAAAATTGTTATTTAAATAATCTTTTATATAAACAAATGTCGGAACACATTAGACTAATTGACGATTTTTTAATTATATAACTGTCTTCCATGATGTCAACAGTCAGGTTTCTGTTTGTGTAATAGTGTTACAGGATGTGATTAGTAACATGTACTTATATAGTGTCTCGTTTCTAACGCTATTTATTACCATATTAATGACAGGTGTGCGTGGTATGTGTTTCAAGATACGGATATAGCGCGATGGAATTAAATACCGAGGAAACATTTATCATGATTAATCTTCTAATTCAATCTCATACAATCTGGACTGTATGTACAATTGTGCGTTTCACTTATTATCGTATTTGCTATCAATAAATGTGCAAAAGTTATCAAGATTGCATTCCTCCAAGCTTGACCTTATTATTCATTTATATCTTTTCACTCTTGTGCAAATCAATATTTTAACAATATAAAAATGCCACATTCTTAATGATATACATAAGTATTTTATTTAATTCCCATTTATATAATTCAATACTGAATTAAGAAGCAATACAATTTGTAATTTTCATACAAAGTTCGCATCTTACCTTTGTAATTAAAATTGTTAAAAGTTTTTACGAACCTCGAAGATATAAAATTACTTAAGATACTGATTAACGCGTCCAGGAATTGTATAACTGAGAAGTTATGTCGTTACTGTGTGCGAATCATTTGGTCATACACACTTGCATCACTAATTTCAAGTAAAACGAAGACCTTCGATTTTCTATGGTTTCCCTCTATTCAAATTCCACTATATTGCATGCACTATTGCGCTCTACGCAGCACAAATAGCTCTTAAACACAGGTTAGTGCTATCCGAACCATGATAAAAGATAATTACAATTTTTTTTGTATGCGGGCTTACTGATACCTTTTACGGTTATTAAAACATGTTACCATGCACGCAAAAGTGGAATTGATGCTGCTGTAACCATTTGCCTGTTTGAGGGTTTGCTGTAAAATGGCAAACTCGGTAAAGATAATTGATGTAATGTTAATAGGGAGCTACACTCTACGTGTGTCAAAACTATATATAACTAGTGGGACATTTCCGCTTCTAGTAAATTTATGTTCAATTAAATATATAATTACATCTGTGCCATCCATGCATACGTAACAATTCAAGCGTAATATACTATGTAACTGTGCATCGTATAGTTACTCCATTATAAATTGCATTAAACTAGTTTAATGTATATTTATCATTGCAAGCATCAATCATCGAAATAAACGACTCACCATTTCTGTTAAAATTAACATAATCCATTATTCAATCAATAAAATATTGACAAGCTTTCATTCACTCTTTTTCATTACATTCTCTCGTATACCTCTCAGTTTACTCTGTTTATTAGAATTAAAACTCTTTCATTTTGGTAATTCAAATAATTCGACAGATTTACTGTTGGTAAAGGGAAAGCAATGCAAGAACGTTAACCACCAAACGAAACGAATGCGGTTAGCGCATTTCCCACGAATTCTATCATTGGTAACTTCGTTATTTACACCATCGCCGTTTTTGTTATCGACTAATCTCAGCGTATGCATACATACGTATTGGCCATCGCGTCGATCGACGCGTTAACGTTGCATTGGCCAGGTTGACGTAATTGGAAGTGCGAGCCCTGGTCACATTTAACTAATTGCGATTTCACGATTACCCTTCACGTCACCGGTAAATGGCCACCGAGTAGCTTTCATCTTTACCGTTAATTCCCTGTCGAATCCCAAATATTCATGAGTCATGCTCGCGCTAATCAGACGTCACATTTGTATCGCACTCGTTCGTATTTGCTTGTATCAGATCCTCGTTTTTATTCCGAAATTAATTGCGTGTGGTCATCCAGATGCATTGACTTTTAAAAGCTTGTATCGTCAAAGATACGTTAAATCCTGGAGTGAAATATTAGGATTGCAAGAGTGATCTTTAGTCGACATTTAAACTTACATTTCCTACAAATCTGTACGACAATTTTTATTAGATTGCAAAAAGTTAGCTGAACGTAACTCCGAAATTCTTTCACGCGATAATTGTAGATAAATTGTACTTTGGGTACATGCGTTGGACCAATAAAGGAGTCGGTATGCGTATGTAAATATTGCTCGCGTCTCACGTGCTTCGTTTTCTGGGTGGACGCGCGGACCGGCTTTTCCGCGCGGCCAACTTTTGCGACAAGCTTCGTGTAACGAATCAACGAGTAACGAAGCCAATCTCAGTCTCACGTAGCGCATCATATCTTCCCGTGTATCAACGTCACGCTGAACGACCGGCCCGACCGTCGGAAAAGTTTTCCCTCGTGTAACAAGTCTCGATTTACATAGCGGGAACAACTTACTTGCAATGATCGGCGGAACTAGAACACGGACATTTTAAATAAATCATCCGCGGAACTTCTTACCGCGTTCATCATGGTCTAATAATTTCGTACAATTCTTTTTCAGTCCTTCTTTTTGCAATAATACAGGAAAATTTTTATTCCTCTCCTAACATCAGGAAATCGTTGTGTAATTGCTTAAGTCACTTGAAGCGTGAAGTGGGGACCAAGGTTTAACATTGTTGCAATGGATAACCGTAAATGTTCTAATTTTTTCTTTCTAAATGCGAATAATGAGCATTTGCAAATGTGTATGAATTGAATTTTATGGAGAACAGAAGAAAGTTATAAAGTTGATTCAGAGTATCGTATTACTTTTATTTGATACAAAGATTTTCAAAAAAAAATTCAATTCATAATTGCATGAGTTCATTGCATGAAATGATAAATGATGGTTGCAAATGGAAACGTGTGGATCGAGATTGCTGATAACTGGCGAGGAAATCATAAGATGGACTCCGTAACTTCGTTTCCGGTTCCGCGATTTATTAATCGCGCTCTTCTGCCGCGCGAAGAATGTCCAGATAACTCGGGATCATAATTCAAACGCAAGTCTGTGCTGGATTTTCTTTCGCGTAAGCTAAATATTCACCGTTGTAAAAACAGCGCCATAAATTATGTGGGAGTCGCGTCGTGGAAGCTTCTATGGAAAAATACAATCCTTCGCAATTGCATTTTCCAACAGCAAGCAGGACAGAGCTTTCTGCTTTGTGAAAAAAAAAAGCACAGATTGATTCATAATGAATAGAGAACAGCGGGATTTTCCATACTGGAATCCGGAAATATTAAAATTAAAATTGAAAATAAAATTTTATATTATTTCGTATTATGGAAAACGCATCTATTTGTATCATAAAGAAAATTAATAACTGCTTATTTCTTTCTTTAAACAGGATTGAGAATCCAATAAAGTTTGAATTCCACTTTACGAAACAGCTTTGTATATCATTTATAGACCTTGAATGCGGTTTGTAGTAAACGTTTAGTAAGAACAGGCTGTATGCTAATAGCGTGGCGAGTAAGGAATCGAGCTAATTCGCAGTAATTTAGCCACACCTTACGCAATAGACATGAATTAGGTGTTATTGTTAGATCAAACTTCTTGGAGAACATCGTGTAGACAATCTATCTAGGATCATCATTACTTAAATACGAAAGATTAATTTTATGAAACAGTGCTATTATATAGTTAGGCATCTCGAAATTACGTAAAAATCACGTGTCGCTGTTTATCATCATAATTGAACATTTTCTTAGCTGGAGGCTAGGAGTAATCTCATTAAACCGTTTAATCGTTGGTTTTTCTCGTAGTTCCCTGGAAGTCATTAGATAATGAAGGCGTATTAACCACGACTTTCAACATTTCCAATTAATTTAAAATAAAAATTGAGAACAAAGAGACACATAATGGTATGAAAATATGGAAGGAAATAAGGTTGTTGAGAAACGGGCAATGTTTCATTTCGCATACAAATAGAATGTTGTTTTACTGTTTATACGAAGAGAACAATGATGCTTGGAAATTTACCAATAACTGAACAACGCTTAACGTGCCGTATTATCAGCGATTGGGGATTAATTGAATGGCAATAGTAACAGCCGGAATGTATACGTTAATAATAACAACAGAAGTGATAAGGTACGATGGAAAATAATGAAGGTGCATTATCAAGAATATTACAAATGGATGATTAAACATGCATAGGTTGTGCCAATACTACAGCGAAGTTACAAGCATTATTTCTGAATATTTATTCGTATTGATTTTGCACGTTTTATCACGTTTGACATAAGTTTTGTAAATTACTATAATGTAAATTGAAAGCATGTCAGATGTAAAACGATCATAATAATAGTACAGTAATTTGAAAATTATGTTAACAATTCTGACGATAATTATATGAGTGAGTTACTTGTATTATCGCTTATTAGTAACACTAAAAAAATTCTCATTCTCATTAATCAACATAATTAATTCTGCACTACATTTGAACTTCAAGCCACTGTACCCTTCATCTAGCATCGATTTACGAGTGATATAATAATTAACATAACATGTTATTAACTAAGAACATAATTGGATATTGATTTAATTAATGAAAATGTTTCTCGAATTCAATCTAGTTATATGTAATGATACAATAATAATATATTAAATGTAAATAATGATAATAGATGTACGATACATGAGAACACGTTATTGCTTTAACGCGTAGAAAATATGCGTTCAATATGCATTTAATTAATTGGAATTAATATTTTGCAAATTAACGCCTTTTTGTCGTACATGATTTATTATTAAAATGGATGCATGCGACTTCATTGTATGTGAAAATGGAAGATAATAAAGAGCGCAGACGTTTGAACAATTCAGTGTTCAATGGTAGTGAAATAAAAGGGGAAGCAGTCGTGGAAGGTATGTATAGCGAAAGAGGAATTGGAGATAAAATGATACTCTCTGGGAAAGCCGAACAACGCCATTGATTTCGGCTAACGACGAAGAGGCGAGCGTAAATTGATCGGAACGAGGGCGTGCTATATATGTATGAGCGACAGACAGTAAATCCGGGTTAAAGGACCGGGCTCGTTCACTCTGCAACCCCTTAATAACGGGCGCGCCGTAACGTCGGCCGTAAACCCTCGCTTTGCAACGGAACCGGAGTTTCAAAATGTGTCTAAAGCGCGAGCATACGTGAATTTTACGCGAATTTCGGACTCGATCTGCTGTTGCACGGGTCCAACTGTCTAGAAATATTAAGAAATTACCCGGCACGACGTAATGCGAGGCACAGATTTTTATGCGCCACGTGCCGTGAAACGTTGTCGATGCAACGACATGCGCAATTTACGGTATAATCGTTTGCGAAAGGTATCTTCTGGAAAGTTGCTACGCGGTACTACTACGCGTAATGATCGCAATGCACGCGAGGACGTTGACTTCGGTACGGAAGCTCGTTTTCTTGAATGGAGCATTACATGCTTTCGCGGCAGCATTGGCGGCTTTCGAGTGGAAGCGTTTCAAGGGGAGACGTTCTATCGTCACATCGAGTAATTCAAAGTCGCGAACGCACAATAAAATGATCTTTGAAGTTATATCTGGTTGACGGGATCAGCATAAATGCCGTTGAACGTCGTATTAAATGCTGCACGGCGATACAGTGCTCGAGTTAATTGTCCCTGGTAACAATAGTATTACCAGGGAAGCGCGATCAAAGGATTATGAACTTTGAATACGATGTTATTACACGCAGTATATATAAATTCTGTGATCTACAAAATGTGACTTCATTCACATTTCTGTAGCCTTGCAGTCATGTGTACATATGGAGTTGAAAACGTTTATGGGATCTGGTGTCTATCCTTTTATAAAATATATATAGTAAATAATAATAATCCATGGAAACATTGTAGATACTAAAATAAATAATAGTACATTGAATAGTGTCAAACAATAACAATAAAAAGAATTTGTGACATCTAAAACTATACGTGAAAATGTGGAGAACTAACACCGTAAGCGTGGAAGGAAATAAATTTAAGATAATAGACTGAGCAGCTCAAAGAGCAGAAGATAAATCCGCAGAGAATTTAGAACTTGGTTCCTGGGTCTCAGGCTCTAACGAGACATCGACTCTAAAGCTTCGACTCGTAATAAGAGGATCGAAGCTAAAGCGAGACCGCGAGCAGTAGTTCATTGGAACAAACGTGCGATACTGTTTCCTTATTGCAGCCTCGGATAGGCGATACGTATCGCAAAATCCTGTTAGTGTCTTAGTCGGCTATATTTCCGTTATCTCTGCGATCGGATAAACCCTCGCGTATTACCTGTTTACGATAATTCGCCGCGCTCCACCGCTGGCTGAGATTTCCCCCCGTTCGACGAAGTCTGACTGTTGCTCCAAACGTTTCACAGGTTTAGCGATGCGGTGAAATCGCTGGAACTCGTTTATAGAATTATAAAGAGGGTAATTGATTCACTTAATTGAAACAGACTTCAAGATATTCAGACGAACGTATGACAAATTTGAAATTCTGAACTTAGTTCGTAGTGGTATATCTATAGATTATGAGAAATTATAAATTCTTTTTATTAATTAATCGCATAATTGAAAACAAATGTGTATTCTGCAGACTTTTCGCATACAGCACGCTTGCCATGTAAGTCGATGAGACAGGCGCTTAGTTTGAAAACAATCTACAATTATAAAATCTGAAGGGAACGTAAGACCATGGATAGTCAAATATTGCGACAGATATTCATCGGTATAATTTGTGAGTAAAAATTAATGAGATCGAGCGAACAGCAAGCGAGTAAATCATAAAAAGGCTCGTGGAGGATCTTAAATTATTCATCGTCACTTAGGTAACTTGCTGATCATCGATAGCGGATTGAACGAGGGATGGAGCACTCCTATTATACCGAAATTCGAGCGGGACGACCCTTTGAAGGTGTCCAGCGACGAAGTGGTCTGGATAGTGAATTTGATGTACATCGGTATCGGTCTCGGCACGGTGGTGCCATTTCTTTTGATGGACAGGATAGGTCGCAAAGGAACGCTCCTGTTCGCCACGATACCAAAGATTGCAAGCTGGATTTTGATAGGCTTGGCAGCTACCACTCAGCAGCTTTACATTGGTAGGATACTGGCTGGTATTGGCTGCGGGATTACATACGCAGTGATGCCTATGTATCTGGGCGAAGTTAGCAGCAAAAGAACTCGTGGTCCATTAGGTATTATTTATTTTTTTTTACCTTCTTTTTTAAATTTATAATTTACAATCATTAATTTATTACAATTATTATGACGAAATCGTCGTGCTCGTTTATTGAATCAGAAAATGATCCTAAGAGTAAATAGAGAGCATTATCATTCAGGTACTCTAATGGCGGTGCTTCTAAACACGGGCATGATGCTCGCCTACGTGATCGGTCTGTGGGTCTCCCGTTTTACGATGTCCATGATCGCGCTCACGGTCCCAGTATTGTTCCTCATGACTTTCATTTGGCTGCCTGAAAGCTCGGTGTTCCTCACTAAAAAGAACAGATTAACGTCCGCGGAGAAGACGTTGAAATGGGCACTCGGAAAGGACGACGTGGTCGAAGAACTGGAGGAGATCAAACGTATGCTAGCCACGGAGGATCTGAAGATTAAAAAGACGTTCATGAAATCGTTCATGGAAATGTGCAGGAGACAGGAGAATCGTCGTGCGTTTGGCATCGCCGTGATCGTTCTCAGCGCGTTGTCGATCACTGGTGCCGCGCCGATTCTCGCTTATCAGTCCCACATATTCCAGGAGGCTGGTTTCAAAATCTCGTCGAACATAAGTATAATTATCACCGGTTGCACGATCGTAATCGCCGGTAGCATTTGTGTGCTGGTGGTCAGGCGTACCGGCAAGAGATTGCTGTTGCTGATCTCGGCGCCGATCGCCGTCGCGTCTCTATTGATGATGGCGATCTTCTTCGGGCTGATGTCTGCCGGGAACGACGTCTCCGGGTTGCGCTGGGTGCCGAGCGTGTTCCTGGTGATTTATGTCCTCGGATACGGGATCGCGTTGAATCCCGTGCCCCTCGCCTACATTGGCGAGATTTTCCACATCGACGTGAAGGTGCCCGCGGCGATATTCTGCTCCCTTTATTACGCCATCACCAGCATTACCGTTGTGAAGCTCTATCAGGTGGGTCTTCGCTTCGCACGGCCTCGATATAATCAACACGTAAATCACGCGTCGATGAAATTTCGGGTCGTCGTACGGTTTTCATTTTACTCGGATTAGAACACAAGTACTTTCCTACTATTAGTGTTAAAGTAAAGAACAATGTATTTGTTTTAATTTCATTTTCCTACTTGTTTAACATTTTGGATTTAGTACACAGTAAATGGTATTCATTGATTTGTTACATTTTTAATTTCGTTATTTTCAAAGTTGAATATATTTTTTTATTATTGCAATTTGAAACTGTTTGCTCTTCACTATTAAATCATATTCTTTATTTTAGAATTTAAATCTATTACTTTAGAACTGTTTGATAAAATGTAGACGTAAATACTTAATATTCTTACATTCTCAGAACCTAATAATTGCAGACAATTATGACATTTTTATAGTAGTAATTACGTAGTTTAAGAGGCAACCAGTTTCGTGTTCTCGTTGCTTTGAGCAGAGCAGAACGAGATCGAAACGTTCGTCGCTCGAGAGATAAGTCAATAATCTAAAAACATTTTCGTAACGCGTTAATGGAAGTCGGTAACGGTGAAGAGCTTGCAAAATATTTTTCCAAGACGACCCGAATTCGCTTCTCGTTACCAAGAGAACATCGGCAATCTGTATTAACGAACGTAACCCAGTACTCTAACAGACATAGTTTCATATAATATTACAACAAATGGAACGATATAAGATTATAATAGATATCAGGCTACAATACATATAACTATGAAAAAAACGTGCAATACTATAACAAATTCAGTTATGATTCGACTTATTTTTAGGTGCTACAAGAATCGTATGGTACATACATGCCTATGACAGTGTTCACTGTTATTACTTGTATTATATGGGTGCTAATTTATCGATACGTGCCGGAGACTGAAGGGAAGACCTTAGAAGAGATTCAAATAGAATTACGAAAAAAGAACTGATAACTTATCACAATTCAATACTGCGTTTTTAATATTTTAATAAAGAATACATATCATTTTATTATATTTGACACAATTTTTTTCCTTTCATTTATATCAAAGTGTATGATAATCAAGCACATCGTTACTTATTTAAGGAACATATTTCAGTTCATCTGAATTTGTTCAAAAACCATTAATTCGCCTGGTAGAATTGTACGTTCTCTCCACCAATGAAAGCTTCACATTTTAACGAAATACAAAATGCCAACCATTTCGAACAGCTTAATATCACCGTCGGAAACTATCACGAAAATCTCGTAGAACGCAGCTGGATTACGTAAACAGGGTCCTGTAGGTACGTGATCGCGGAACGTTGTGGTACGAGGAAAAAATGCGAGGAACCGAGTGAGGAGATGGGCCGTGATCAATACGGACGTGCTCTTGATTCTCCGGTATCAGACACGACTCGGCGGAGAGGGCAAACTGTAATTTCGACAAATTACACTCGAAACTGTGTTAGGGGAGGGACGGCACGGCGACCGGGGAGGGGGAGGGATGGGGGGAGACGGAGATGAGCGCGAAAGAGGAAAAGGACCGTGAGAGTCGTTTGATCGCGAAGTTCACCGTCTGCAAAGAGAGAATCGTTAAACAGCGATATCGCCCAGCCGTGCCTAGAGACGATCTCCAAAACTGTTTGAGTAGCAGTTTAAAAAATGCACCCCTAACCGAACGATGCTCGGTGGTACATAGTACATAGATATGGCTACAACTTTCTCGTGGCGTGTTTATTTAAAACGGGACGCGCCGCGCATTTTGTTTGCGCACGCCGCGTCACGTGAAATTTTCCTGGGTGATGGTTTTACTGGTTTACGCGGCTCGGATTTCCTTTTTTCTTTCTTCCCATCGGTCGATTGGTTCCTCCGGTCACCGAGTAGATACGACTATTACAGAGTGTCAGTGCTTGTGTAAACTAGGACAGCGAATTGGGTTCAGTGATACAAAACATAGTCGGTAGTAAAGCAAAATATCGAAAAACTAAAAATTTGTTTTTCTCGGAATTTCGAAAAATGCTTTAAATAAAAGTTGTAATTACTGCTATTACCTGCAAGAAAGGTCGTATACAATTTTCTTCTATCTCGAATACTTCAGGACTATCGATTATTTTATTAGTTCGTTCATCGCCAATTATTGCTTAAAAACGAATGGAGTTAGAAGGAAATTGCATAGGACCTTTTTTGTATTTGGCAACTGTTCAGCACCGACGAGTGTTTTGTTTTCTATTTCTCAGTTCGGTGGCAATATATTCTAGTGGGCGTCAAAAATTGTAGATTTTTTGTGCAACAGGAAGTCCCATATGTTCACCACTCTTTAGTAATCTCTGTTGGGGTAGTCCGTCAGTTTCGAATAATCCCGACCGTTGCACCGCGGGATTTCTTGGTGAATGACCGGCGACAACGAAATTGGCTGCGGTTTGGAATGTTCTCCAGCTTGGAGTGTCTATAAATTTAGTCAAGCTTGAAACGATCTACGTGTTATGCTTCGGAACTACGTTTACTTGATACCTTTTTGCTAAATGGATTCAAAACAGTATTTTCTAAAGTGGTCATCTAAATTACTATAAATATTTCTATGCGCTCTGCCTAAAACAGTATTAATAATCCTCTCAACTTGGCATACGATTAAAATGAACTGGATACAATTATCCTGGGTTTCCTTTTTTCTCGAGTTGCACGGCGATCGAAATTGTCGATTAGCGCGAGATTCACGGCTGTTTCTTCGCGGACAAGTAACTACCATTATCAGGATTAGGTGCTGGTTGCATTGGGTAAGAGGTGCAAGCGTGCACCCATTCTCATCCGGATAATGCACCGCTAAGTGGATGCTCCGTACGTGTTGCGACTCGTACCCTATCAATCTTGATCTTGTACGCTCCTGCGCCCGTGCGCACAGACGTTTACACGTACTCGAAACACATGCGAGGTCGATTCTCGAGCATGGAAACGCATTAACACTCGCGTGCGTGCGCTCAGTGAGTACAAGATGTGATAGGCTCACGACAGTACACCCATGTGTCCATAACTACATAAGACGAACCTCTACGTGTTGTACGAAAAGCGTTCCAATGTACACAAACTGAATCAGGATCAACAAATTCAGTACTGGATGTCTATATTTTTCTGCTGAAGGTAGGACATAATTAGGCAATCAGCTTTTACATATTTAACATTTTTGTATATTTTCTTGCTTCATGATATGACGTGATGATTATGTCAGTACGATGAAGTAATCTGTTATTTTAATAGAATCAGTAAAAGATGACTCTATTATACTTGGTGAAACAATGATGCATTAACTGTTTTAGTACAGCTATATTCTTTCGATTAAGCGATTTAAATATTCTTTGCCGATTATACGATTTAAAAGAGTTCAGGTAAATTCTTCTTTATTTTATTTATGAAATATACAATACACGAAATAATATAATTTTCTGTAGAATTTTAAAAATGACGTATACTGCTTATAAGTTAATTATAACCGGATGCATGAAAATGTACATTCTATTAATGAATTTTCATACACACAACGGACGGGAAGGCTGAAAAAGAGTACGAATATAATGCGATTGTGGTGGACTACAAAGATATGTTGGCACGGAAATCGAGGGTCGCAATTGATAGTCGTGCGTTTTCGTGTTCGGTGAAAAACGCATTTCGCGATTATTAAAAAGAGGTAATAAAAATCAGCCGTAGAGAACAAAAGCGGTTGGGAATTTATTTTGTCGACAGGGGAGAGTCGCGTTTAAAAAACCATTATCTTGTAAAAGCTCCTGAATCTGCGAATATTGGGAACGTGTTTAAATTATTATGTTAAAAATAATCGTATTGCTTTAAAAAACGTCGTGCATCGAAGTCCTATATTGTATTATTTATAAACTTGATATTAAAAATGTACCGTGGAACTTTTCAGATACTGAAAATTTTTTATTGTAATTGATGTTTTGATAATGCACGAAAACATGTGAATATACAGAGTTTAATAGATCTTTTCATAAGGTATTTATTTTTAATACTGAAAATACTTTGAAAAATATACCATTTTAATATAT